AGGAAGAAAAGAAGAGGAGAGAGGAAAGAGGAAAGAGATAAGAGAGAGCGAGAGGAAGATGACAAAGGAGAGAGAGTGAGAGTAAGAGTAAGAGTAAGAGGAGAGAGGAAGAGGAGAGAGGAAGAGAGGGAAAGAGAGCAAGAGGAGAGGGAGGAGAGAGGGAGAGGAGGGAGAGAAAGAGAGGAGAGAGAGCAAGAGGAAGATGAGAGAGAAAATTATTTTTATTTTTATTATTTTGTCTTTCTATATTCCTCTCTCTCGATTTTTTCAACCATCAAAATTAATTTTCCTCTCTCTTCCTCACACCCTCTTTCTCTCTCTCTAAAAATAGAGTTTCCTCTCTTTCTCACACCCTCTCACTCCACGCCCAATATTTCTCTATCTTCTTCACACCCTTCACTATCTCTTCCTCACACCTCTCTCTCTAAGCCTCTGTGTATTAGTCGAATATGATCGTGATTGAGATTGAGATTATGAGCGAGATCAAGTTTTTGAGCGAGATCGAGAGCGAGAGTAGAGATTTTGAGCAAGATCGAGAGCGAGAGGAAAACGGTGAAACCGCCGACGACCAATAAAAGGAAAACGAAGGTGCCCACGGTTGGATTTTGCTCTCGACGATCGGATCTTGCTCTCAGACGGTCTTATTTTTAGAGAGAGAGAAAGTGTGTCTATGAAATTAATTGGGTTTTTGTTTCATTCTAAATCTTATTTTTAGAGGGAGAGAGTGTCTATGAAATTAATTGAGCTTTTGTTTCATTATAAATCCTATTTTTAGAGGGAGAAAGGTGTCTATGAAATTAATTGGGTTTTTGTTACATTCTAAATCATATTTTTAGAGAGACAAAACGTGTCTATCATTTTAATTGGGGTTTTGGGAAAAAACTGAACAGAATGAGAGAGAAAAAAAGAAAAATGAGGAGAGAGGAAGAATGATGTTTTTTTGAAGATATGGAAAAAGAGGGAGAGAGAACAAGAGAGAAATCTGAAAATGAGTGGACGGTCGGTGAAAGTAATTTGGTATCAAAGATGATGTCATCAAAGATTAGAAAACATAGGTTTTGAAAAAAGTGGATAAAAAACAATACTCCCTTGGCAAAAGGGTTATTCAACCCAATTTAAAGAACTTTTCTTTAATGTAAAGTTTATTCGTTAGGGATTTTGTGAGATATATTGAGTCTAGCTCTAACCATAGCTCTTGTGAGCAGTTTTGGCTTCATGTACTTGCCTTAAAACATTATCTGGTAAGTACAAAATTATGGTGTTAAATGCAATATATTTTTTTTTATTTCAACAACTTCTTCTTCAGTTAGTTTTTTGGGCCAAACAGGAGATTCATCTAAAGCCTTAAAAACCTTTTGCTGAACAAGTAGTACTCTCGTTTTATTTTTCCATAAAGAAAAATCACCTTTCCAATCGAGTCTCTCTACTTCAAAATTTGCTATCATGAACATAATAGAGAAATAACTCTCGGCAAGAATTCATATGTAAAAATCAAGCACTAATACCAATTTGTTATGCTCAACTCACAGAAAACTAATAAACAAACTTCAAGACAAACTCAAAAGACCAGTAGCCCGACCAAAACTCAAAAAATGTAAAAACAGAGTAATAGGACAATAGATGGACAAATGGATATATAGTGGTTCGACCCAATTGGAGATCTACATCTAATCATTTTAGTAATCAAAAGAGTACAACAACATCAAAGGGAAGAAAGCAATTCTCAAGAACTCCAAAATACACAACTCCCTTTTACTCCTAAAGAGATACAAACAACTTCTGACAAAGAAACCTCACCAGACAATACCGAGACCTCACACTCTTTCAAGGATGAAGATGAAAATAACCAAGAGGAAGAGGAAGAAGAACTTCTACTCTCTTTTATAATCGAACACCTCACACTTGTTCACTTTTTTTTTTCTTTTCTTTTCTTTTTCTCTCGCTAACCAACCTGTGCCAAAAGAAAGAAAGCTCTGAGATATAATTCGGTTAAATTTCAAGTTAATTTCAAAACTTATAGTTTCGATTGATTTTTAATTTAATCTCCATAGTTTCAGAAAATTTCAGTACAGGTAGACTCAATTTTAATTTTGTCCCAATAATTATAGAAAATGATACATACAATCAGGGTATTAATTTTTCACCGGCATATCTACATTTCCTTACAAAATTTCCATTTGTCTATACATTCGACATTCACATCATACAGTATCACAAAAAAGCCGGTAAAATATTAAAAATATATAAAAAAATTCACTAATTTGAAAATAATATTAAAATTAATAATTTTAAACTTATATAAAAAGAGTGAAAGACTTGGTTTGTTAATTTAAATATTTGCTATGTTTTTTATATTTATATTTATTTTTATAATTTTTTCGAAATATTCATTGATATCGATATTTTCATGGACATGTTTCATTGACATTTTTATTGACGTCAACATTTAAAACCTTACCAATAGAGATACGTTCATTAAATCTTATAGAACATCTTTATTATTATTATATTCAATATATGACTTTTTTTCAATTTACATAATAATGAGTTCATATCTTTTATTTGTCTAATTCTATTTGTCAAACTCTGTTGGCTGGGTTTAGGTTGTCCTATAAATTAGGAGAAAATGAGTAAATTTTCATAGGACTAAAATACTATTTTGTTTTATCCTAGTTATAGAACAAAATTTAAATTTCACACACCGCGATAACCAATTTAAAATGAAGTACAAATTCAAGTCATTGACACCAATTTTCGATAAAAAATCGTGAGTTCGAATTATAAATAGTAACTCTTAAAGACCATAAAATACAAAATAATTAAGTCCACGCCGCATAACCAATTTAAAATGAAGTCCAAATTGGTGTCATTGACACCAATTTCTGGTAAAAAAATTGTGAGTTGCACCAATAATTAGTAACTCTTAAAATCATAAAATATAAAATAATTAAGTCCACACCACATGACCAAATTTGTAATTCAACTCTATAATTTCTTCCCATAGGGAGACAGAATGAAACGCAAGCACAGAGCGATAGCGCCCCCGCGCGGGAATCCCGAGCCTAGGCGCTGTTATTATAGCAGAAAAATTAAAAAGACGCTCACAACAGCTTCAGTCACTTCTTGCCCTAATTTCCCCGTCTCCAATAACTTCTCTCTTCTCTCAAATTTCTTCTTTCCCATACCTCAAATCACGAGTTCTTCCCTAAATCTATTATTATCTGCAGATTCCTCTTTCCACTCCGGCGAATTTACCCAGATTTTTCGTGGGTTTTTCGCTAGATTCCTCTCCAAGTAAGTTTTTCCTCTAAATCTCTATTTTGGAGCTTGATTTTGCTGGAACTTGCTGTTTCTTGTGGAAGTGAACTATGTACTTGAACTTCGATTGATTTGGTGCTGATTTGAGAAACAAAAAACCAAAAAGACAATCAAGTTTTGGGATAGATTTTCTGCTGTAAACTTCTCTTAATCTGTGCATCAATTTGTTTATGGCTCCAAAACGTGCCAAGACTAGTGGATCGTCTTTGGCATCTTTTGATAGAAGGAAGTTCATAGACTTAGAATCCTCAGACAAATTTATCAGTTCCGTAGCAAAACGTAGTGTTATTACAGAAAGGGGGCTACAACCATGTAGTGGGGACCAAAGGGACATCCATTTGAACATTGAGCAAAGGGGTTGGGAAGAGCTGGTTAAACAACCCGAGGCTGCAGTCGTCTCGGTGGTGAGGGAGTTCTATGCGAATATGAAAGAAGACGACATAAGCGTGTTTGTGAGAGGGAAAATGGTGCCGTTCGATCGTACTACGATCAATAGGTTGTACCATTTGCCCGACATCGAACACGACAAGTATAGCACCTATGCTAGGGAGGAATTGGACTTAGAACAAGTGATTTTGAAACTATGTAGACCAGGAACTCAATGGAAATTCCGAGGACATGAAGCATTGAGCTTCAAAACCTCGGAGTTGAGCGTTACCAATAAGGTCTGGCACAGCTTTATCTGTGCAAAGTTATTGCCAGTGACACATATCAGTGATGTTACTAGGGAAAGGGCGATCTTGGTCTATACTATCGTCACTGGTAAATCAATAGACGTAGGGCGGCTCATCGGACAGTCCATTAGACATTGTAGACGAGCGTCAACCACGGGCGGTCTAGCCCATCCTTCGTTGATCACTGCTCTATGTAGACAGGCTGGGGTTGTATGGGGACCTCATGAGGAGTTGCTTAACCCAAGGAGTGTCATGGACAAAAGTTTTATTCTTGGATTGAAGGGCTGGGTCCCTGCTGAAGACGCAATGGCTATAGAGCCATTGCAGGCTTGCTCGAATGAGCAAGCTCGAGCGTCGAGACCTCGTGCACAAGAATCAGGATCTATGGAGGAGCGATTAGATCGACTAGAGCGAAGACTCAACCACCAACATCAAGAGTGGAGGAGATTTATGTCGTATCAGGTGGAGTTCAACCGTAGCCTCGTTCGGATGTTTGCACAGTGTGGATTCAATCAAGGAGCAAATCCAATTCAATTCCCCAAACCACCCGAATTTTCAAACGATCCTCGACACGAAGAAGAGGGAGAAGATGAGGAAGAACTTGATTATTGGAGTCACAACATTTAGAGCAGTATCCTTTCACCCTTTATTTGTAATTATTTTCCTTACTGTTATGTAGCATGGATTTAAAATTTATAGGTTGCTTAACTTCTTATATTAAAAAAAAAAAGACCATGATAGCTTGTGTAGTTTCTTTGACCCTTGGTGGTAGCTTAGCTTATGAACGTTGAGGGTGTATATATTTTTTTGACTTTGAGGATGGCATGTTTAATTTTATCGTTCGCCCTTTTGCATCTCACTTGGCGCATAATCTAGTTCGTGGTTGACCTACATGGAGTCGACTCATTTAAATCAAATTTATAATCAATGTTTGGGAAAGCGGGTCTAAAAAAAGGCCCGCTCTTCTCATAGTGTTTAGCGCTTTGAACTCATGCTTAAGAAACATTGTTTGTAATCAATAGGAATACACTAACATTAAAAATACAAACCTTTTACATTCTCTAGAGACGTACAACATATGTCTACCAAAATGTTCAACTCTCATAGCAGCTCAACATAGGAGAGGATAAAAAGCCCAAATTGGCTGCAGAAGATTGAAAATTGTTCCACCAAACTAAACTATCTTATGCTGTGGTTTTCTATTTACATACCCTATTTTCACACGCCCTTTATTTGGCAACTTCACTCCACGGCGGCGACAAAACATCCTCCACCAGTGCAACTTCTTCACACCCTTCTTCCCCAACCTCGGCTTCCTAAGCTCTTTCTTCTTCATGGCTGTCGGTTTCCAAACATGGCTCCTCAGCCCCTCAGCCAGAGCCTGAAACCTTCCAACTTGATTCTTCCGAGATACGCTTCGGATTGCTGTTTTCTTTAGCGTTTCGTGTCGTCCTTTACTTGTTACTCTTTTCTTGTCTGTGCCATGGAAGATCTTTCTTAGCTGCTTCCACATGAAGAAGTTATTATGGCTGTTGTGGTGGTGATGGTGATGGTGGTGGTGATGGTGGTGGAAGATAAGGCCTAGTTTGTTTCTCAGTCTCTTGAAACGTCCGATCGCTTTCTTCGACCCCTTTTTCCCATGGCTGATTCTAAATGCTTTTGAGGAAATTCTGCTGCTTCTGTACCGGCTACTCACCTCCGATCCGGTTGCCGGTTGATCCTCTTGGTGACTTGAGGAAGAAGGGTAATCAGTGGTTTCAGTTTCACTTGTCTGCTGAGTTGCCCAACTTGAAGAAGAAACTGATTCTGATTCTGAGTTTGTAAATTCTGATTCTTGCTGAGTGGGCATTCGAGTCTTCATATGATTCAGCAAAGTTGGCCTCATGATCATATGACCAGGCAAATTTTGGCACCGCCTTTCGTGTATCTGAGTTCGATTCACGGACCGTACAGTAGCCTTGGATCCCACTGAACATCGAGATTTATCTATCAGAATCACTGGATTTATAACTTTGTTTTGTTTAGATACCTGGGTTCCAACGTTTGGAGGTTTCATGGCCTCAACATTGTCTTGAGACAGAGGTACTCTAAACCCGTGAACGAACTCGGAACAATGGCCATTGATTGGCTCAGCAACTCTGGCCTTCAAATTTGAGTGATCCATTCTTGACTGAACTTTCTGCTGATCTAATGGAGAGTTGGATAATTTAGCTCCATTGATATGGCTTCTTGTGTTCCTACTTTGACTTGTATAATGTTGCAGAGATAAAATGTGGAATTCAATTCTTCTGAGTGCTAAACCAATACCATTTGATAAGTCATTAGCAGCAACATTTCCCGTTTTTCTTGTACTTTGATTGTATTCCATCCATTCAGCAACTTTCTCTTCCACTGGCTTTGTCTGTAACAACTCAAAAGGGCTATGTATGTTAGACATAACATCCATAAGTGTAAACTCGAACAATTTTTCTGAATATCTAACATAGGCTAAATATATGCTTTAGTTCTTAATGTTTAGGTATTTTTTTTTCAAGCTAATCCTTAAGGTCTAATATAGGAGAAAGTAAGCCGCTTAAGAGAAGAAAGTTTCTAACTTCTTAAAATTTATTAGAAATTGTAACTTTTCATCTTTTATGTCATCTAGTTCAATCTCCAAATTTCTGCTGACCTACTAAATATCATGCCATGTAAGTTAACCATCAGGCAATTTCAACATTCACCAGAGTGTAAGTGAAAAAGGTTAAAACATAAGAGACTAAATTGAAAATTTTTAAACGTTTGGACTAAATGAGAAAAAGTACTGATAGATTAAGGAGTCCAGGGGTGTTCACGGGTTGGGTTGGATCGGGTTAGAGGAGTTTTTTGGACCAACCCGAATTTTCGGATTGGGCAGAACAGAGAACTGATGGAATCGAACAAGGCCAATCCAACCCAACCCAACCCTTATATTTTTAGGTTGGGTCGTCGGGTTGAGACGAGAGAAGGAAGGGAATCGAACGTCAGTCGAAATCCTAAACATTTTAAATTGCAGAAATCGATTGTTCGTCGTGTTCGTTGTCACATAAGAGAGAAAACTTCATACTCAGCCATCATCAGAAGAGGATGAAGAATAGAGGGGGTCGACTGGAGAAGGGGAAGAAAAGAATGATAGAGGAAGAAGAGGGAGGGGGAGATGAAAGGAGGGAGGGAGGAAAACAGAGACAAGATGAAGGGAGGGAGGGAGACAGAGAGGGAAGGGGGGTGAGGGACGGAGGGAATTGGGAGGCGCCTGCTAGGGTTAGAAAAACTGGGTTAGAAAAATTAGGTTTACTGTATATATATATATATATAATTTATATACATTATATATATTAAAAAATTAAAAGTAAAGCATACCGGGTTGGATTGAATCAACCCGAAAAATTTGAAAGGTCAACCCGAGACCGGATTGGACCTGGTCGGTTGGGATTCGTCGGGTTCGTCGGATTGTCGGGGTTTTTGAACACCCCTATTGAGGACTAAGACATATATTTAGCAATCTATCGACGCCAAATGGTTCATTTGTTAAAAAAGAAAGAATGAAAGAAGTTTTCATGCAAACCTTCGAGTGAAACTGGACAATTTCAGCAGTAGCATCATCGAGCAAATGCTTCAACAAAATTTGTGCCCTTTCATCCAGCTGCTTTGACAATAAAGCCAAACTACAATAGTGAAATATTCAAGTACAAAGTTCACTCCGACTGTTCTAATGTCTCAGTCTCTATTTGAATCAATCCACATAAAAATCACAGGGCAGCCAAAAACTATTAAATATCTGCAGAAAATTTGCTACAATAGTTTCATGCTTCATAAGATAAGGAGGGAGACAAATCATACTACAGTCACTTAGACAATCAGACCTATGAGTACAATGATTGAACATCTCCATTTCTCACGATAGCATTTATGGAATTGGAATAAAATTTCTTAGGGTTAAATCACAAATTTAGTCGTAAACTTTCAAAGTTATGTCTAATAAGTTATTTCACTTTAAAAAATATCTGATAGGCCAATAAACATTATAGTGTCTCGTAAGTCACTCAACTTTTAATATTGTATTTAATAGGTTATTCAATTTTTTAATGTTATGTCTAATAGGACCCTAAACTGATATAAAACTATATAGATTAAAACTACACTCGGATTGAAATAGATTGCAATTGATATTGTTTAGTATTCTTTCAAATGAGAATCAAATTTAAGTTGATGTGACATCAGAGAGAGCATAAAAAAAAAGGGTAAATTGCACAAACCACCCTAAAGTACGATGATCGTTACAATTACACTCTCAAACTTTCAATTTAAAACTTAAACCCTTAAACCTTTACAAATAAAAAAATTATACCCATAAACTTTCAGACCTAAAATTTAAACCCTCAAACTTTAATAAAGTGAAAAAAATTGTACCTTAAACTTTCAATTTTAAAAAATTAAACTCTTAAACTTTTTTTAAACAAAAGAAAAGATAAATTTGTTTTTATTCTCTTTTCTTTTTTCTACTCTCTCTTCCTGGATTTTCCTCTCCACTTTCTCTCATAGAGAACTTGTGTTTCTCCTTCCCCTGTCTTGCAGTATATAGAAAATTGTTGTCCTGTATGATCTTCTCAATTCCCGCAACAAATTCTCCAATTCCAAATTCCAGCATGCCGTTAACCAAAATTCTCTCCCCATCATTACCATGGCCCCTAAGAACACGAGTTATAGAAACTTTTTTTTCCCTGTTTCAAGAGACCGATAAATCGGTCATGTTTTTCAATTTCTTTTAAAGGGTGAGCAAGTACAACCGCTCTGTTGGAAGAAGAAATGGTTTATAGCCGAAATTTTCTACGAGAGCTCTGGGGACGTGTTCAAGAAGCTGGAGAGGAAGAAAGTTCTAAACAATATAGAAAAATCGGAGGAGCTAGAGTTTACGCTCTCTTGTCGTCTTCGTTGAGGGATAGGTGGTGGAGGCTGATAAATATTGCAGAGAGTGAAAGAAGAAACCAACCAGTTTTCTAGGAGGGGAAGTAGAGAGGACGACAACAAGGAGAGAGAGAGGAAATAAATTTTATTTTTTTATTTATGAGAAAGTTTAGTTTAATTTTTTAAAATTGAAATTGATGGGTTCAATTTTTCACTTTTAAAAGTGAAAGGGTTCAATTTTTACCCTAAAAAGTTTGAGGGTGTAATTGCAATAAATGTGATACTTTAAAGGTGATTCATACCATTTACCCAAAAAAAAAAAAAAGGAAAAATGGGAGACACTTATCCATTCTTTAGTAAGGTTGATAAAACAAGAAGAATGAGAATGATAATATCAGAAAGGCTTACAAGTTCTGAATTTGCATCTCGCAAACAGCTCTTTAAGAGGAGGATGTATAATTCCCTCAGTGCAAGGAGATCAAGATATAACTCATTAACTTCCATCTTGTCTGATTAATTACAAGCCAACTACTCCTACAGCATAAATTCAACTCATTTAGCAACTTAAGAAAACATTGTGCACCAAACTGATACTTTATCAAAAGCTCAGAATCCTATTCAAGTGGTAGCAAAATTGTCTGATAACAATCTAACTAGAGAGGTATCTATATATCTTCAACCAGCAACAACCAAGAAAAAGAAAAGATTCAATTGAGTAATTTTGAATCTTAAACTTTCAATCTCGTCCATTTAAACTCGGTTCGAATACCAGTTTGTTTCCTGTACTTTCAACTATTGTTCATTTTAGTCATTGTATTTTTAAAACGTATGTTGTGTTTGGTCCTTGTACTTTTAAAAAACGACTATTTCAGTTCCCGTCTCCAAAATTTTAACACAAATTCTATACACGATAGAAATTCTTAAATACAAGATTACGACTACATTTCATGAAATTTATTGAAGTAGTGCCATATTGAAACTGTGATTGAAAGAATGAAATAAAAATGAAAATGAAGAACCAAAATGATCATTTTTAAAAGTATAGGGACCAAAACTGATGCTTTAAGAATCCAATTACTAAAATGGACAAAAGCTGAAAGTATACGAACAAAATGGACGTTTTGAAAGTACAGTTGAAACTACAATTAACAAAATCAGTATTTAAACTTTTAAACTCGGGACTTTTTTGCAACTAATACCCCCACAAAACTAAATTTGAAAATTGATCCTAAACTAAATGCCCAAACCCGATCACAACAATATTTGAATCTAGCCACCACAAGTAAAAATCGCTCAAACTTATAACAAAGTGCACAAATTCAACTAATTAATAGCATCCAACATAAACTAGAAGAATCAATACTTGCAAAATTAGTCTTTCATCTCTAGCTGGTCACAATTTCTTGAAAAACCAATATCTTAACTAATTGATTAATTCCAGAACTTTAAATGTAGGGTTTAAATCACCCCTCACCTAAGCAGAACTTCTTCAAACAAAAAGTACTCAAAATCCTTGCCAATTCTACTCATAAATCATAGGCAAAATTTACGACAAAGAAAATGATTTCCAGAACTCTCGAAAGTCACACTACAGACATCCACTCTCTGAAAACTGCTTCGAATCAAACAAGAACAACGAAATTTGTACAGAAAGAAATAAGAAATTCTACAAAAACCAGGGCAGAATTGAATCTGAAGACGACATAAAAAATTCATAAACATACTTTCGACGGAAATTACATAAACGTTTTCGATTAATGATTCTATAAGGATTCCAAAATTGAGGATCAGAGAAAGTAAATGGGTATAAACGAAGCAGTGTCAAGAACAAATACTTACGAAATTTCTGGTTTCTGGGATTCGCAAACTCCGATTCGTCCTTCAAATTTTTGTTCCCTTTTCCAAAATTCTTCAGTTAGTCGCTGAAGAGATGAATGGACGCCAAGCGGGAGACGAAAGTGAAATCCGTTAAGTGAAGACTGAGAGAACAGAGAGTTGGTTTTGGAAATGGCTAAATGTCCTTTCAGCAAATTAGTTTTACAAAATATTTAAGTTAAAATATTATTTTGATATTCTACTTTTAGTTTTCGTTTATTTTGGTTCTACCTTCGAAATATTATTTTTCATGCATTACTTTCAAAATATTCGTTTGAGTATTGTATTTTTAGAAAGTGACTATTTTGATAATTTTATTTTATTTTTAGTCTATTTTTTCTATCAAAATTTCAACATGATACTACATTCAACATATATGTATTTGAAATGTAACCATAATTTTATATTAAAGAATTTCTGTTACGTGTAGAATTTATTTAAAATTTTTTCAAAAAAATAGAACAAAATGACATTTTTAAAAGTACAATGAACAAACGAACATTTTGAAAGTACAGGTATTAAAATGAATAAAAGTTGAAAGTATAAGGATAAAAATGAAGATTTTAAAAATAAAAGACCAAAACGAGAAATTGACTAAAATGACCCCCTCAAATTTCCAATTTGCCCAAGTAACCCACCCCTGAAAAAATGTTTTCAATAGCCTCTCTGATTATTTTAATTAATTTAAAAAAAGGAAGTTACATTTATGCCCCTCAAAATTAAAAACCAACCGTTGCACTCCTTTCCCTCTTCCCTCTTCCTCTTCGTCTTCCGTTTTTTCCATTTCTCCTCCACCTTTACTGTTTATGCTGGATTCTTCGTATTTCGTCTTCGTCTCCCGCTTAATCTCTCACAACCGAAGCTTTGAGGTAAAAAGGTTCCTAATTTTATATTGTTTGTTAGGGTGTTCGAATATTATGGATTATATACTCTTTCGTTGTCTACTTTTGTTTTATTTCTTCATTTCCGGTGATTTCCTCTTCAGTTTTTTGGTTTCTTTGTTTTGATTTCTGTAAAATCGGTGGTTGAAAGTTAGGGATTTGAAATTTCAGAGTGGGTTTTTAGGAAACATACAAATTCTCGGGGCAATTTCAACTTGTGGAATTGTTTGTCTCTGGATAAATTCTTGGGGCCCAATCTCACCCGTAAGTCAACCGAGAAATCATATAGTGTTAAAAATTTTCGCGTGAAGATTTAATACTGTATGAATTCTCGTGCATGACTTCGCCCGAGAATGGAACTGAGAAATATGGCAGGACAAGCTTTTACATTATCTTTTTATTTAGGTTGGTTAGTAGAATGGTTGGTTATTATATATGTATGGGTTGTTCACAAGAACTTGTCATTATCTATATGTATGGTGTATTTTTAACATATTATTCTTATAGGAAGTAACATATTATTCATATTTGGATCTTTTATTTTCTTATCTCTAGGTTAATTCAAAATGAAAATGGTACCTAAAATCCCTCCCTCATCCTATGCCTCCACCAACTTGACATGTTTGTCGCACCTAGCGAAGACTACTGCAGCCATTAAGAGTAAATTGACCCCACCACAGTTTAGGATGTTTAGGAAAATTGTATTCAGCCACCTCCTTGACTTGGACCTCGTATTTAACGGGTCATTGATACACGATATCCTACTTAGGGAGATCGAGGATAGTACACCTGAAACCAATAGCTTCAACCTGTTTTGGAGTAAGGTGTCATTTTGGTTGAGGGAGTTTGACATTATTTCTAGCCTTAAGTATGATAGGAGTCCAGTTAGAAAAGACACATCTCCCTACAGACTTAGGGCTCTTTACTTTAATGATAGCAACAACGTACTATTGAGTGATTTTGAGAAGATTTATATAGTCGCACGGTTCGAGGATCACTTCGATGCCGTCAAGGTATCTATTGTGTATTTTGTAGAGTTAGTTCTGTTGGCGAGAGAGAGAACTCTGAAGTACGACTATACCTTGTTGGGAATAGTCGATGATTGGGAAATTTGTTGCAAGCACGACTGGGGCATGCTATCCTTTGATAAAGCTATGTATAGTCTGAAGCGTGGCCTAACGAAGAGGTCGAAGGATGGCGGGTTCAGGAAACCGTACAGTCTCTACCGTTTCCCTTGGGCGTTCCAGGTATGAGCATAAATACTTGTTTTCAGTTTTCGTTCTTTTCAATTGGTCTATAACGTCCACCACTTATATGTACAGGTGTGGGCCTACGAGACTATATCTTCTCTATCAGGGCGTGTGGTCAATAAGGTAAATCCAGACGTTGTGCCACGTATTCTTCGGTGGAGGTGCGGCCATTCAACTGCATGACATGTGCTGGACAGAGAGATTTTCCGATCTAGCATAGTAAGGTAAATCTTGTTTATACCTATAACTTTCTTTAATTTCCATATTTATGCTAACATGTTCATTACCGTTGTTGTAGGGAAGAACTCGATCAATAGAAGCAACGGAGGCTGAGACGACCATCCTAAATAGGGTGTTCGAACCACCCGAGACCGAAGATGAGGATGAAGTCCCACGTGAGAATGATGCTGCTGAACCATTGAGTGCACGTGTAGGACCAGAGAAGGATGACGATGGAGAAGCAGTGAACGTCGGTGAAGGTGTCAGAGAAGACGTCTATGTGGAGGCTGAGGAGAAAGAGGATAATGGAAGTAGTAAGAAGGTACGCATGTCCAATGTGTGTCTGAGGAAAGTTGAGAAACGTTTGAAGTGCATGGACGACAGGTTCGAAGGTATTAAGGCTGAATTATAATCTATCCAGAAGTTCTTGCGAAGAATCGCTAAGGTAATAACAGTTTTCACTTATAGTAACTACGATGTCATTTTCATATAGCGAGAACTAACTTGTCATCCATTGTATAGGGTTTACCTGTCGACCCGAATGACATGAGAAGAGGCAGCAGCAATGATGGTACTGGGCCAGGAGATGGTCCTAGTGATGCACCTAGTGGCAGACCTAGTGATGGACCCACTAGCATCGATGGTGGTCGGGGTGATGGTCCTAAGGGTGATGATGGTTCTACACCATCTCGTAGGGACGACGGCACGAATGACATGATCATCGATCCCCCATGTGAACGTGCACGGGACAAAGGCACATTAGTCCGGCCAAACGGCTGGGGACCAAGCTGAACCAAAACGCGAGGTATGTGTTCGTAATCCATCAGTTCAAATTCGATCGTAACCATGGTTTGACGAAGATTATTGTGCCCTGTTTCAACAACATCCACTTGCCTTGTCGTGTAAGGAAGACATGGGTACAGAGGACGTGCACAAGGAGCGTATGGAGACCGGTCTACATGCGCGTTGCGAGGCTGCCCCTCTCGAGGAGACTCTTGTTCAGAGCAGACCGGTGGACCATATTATGATCGATTCGCATCTGTTAGAGTCATCTATGGACAACAAGGTATTTATTTTTGACCTTTCACCTCTAAACACAAGATTTTATCTACTAACATAATTTATCTAGGACGAATACGCCGAGGATTTCACGGACTCTGATGCGGAAGGGCCGGGAGAAGTAAAATCAAAGAATGTTGAACATACATCGACATTGCATCCGAACCTGGATGAGGTACGTGTGCTATCACAGCCTGTTGAACGCCAGAAACCACGACGGGGGTCTCGGAAGAGGAAGCTCCCATGGAAGCTTCAAGGCTCGTTCAATGTCATGGTGGATGGGAAGTGGAAGAAGGTAATGCGATATGACCCACTAGTCCACGTCCCCCCTAAACAAGTCTACAAGTTTCATGCTTGGATGGCAAACCTTAACACCGACTGCGCCATTCGTAAATCATGTTATGGTGATAGGGGAAAGACATGGTTTCGTGACTTTATCACCCCGGACAAGTGGATGACGAGTGAGGTACGGGTTCGAAACCCTAAATATGTGTTGTACTGTTATTTATTTTTTTCTAACAACAATAACTTATATAGGTGATTGATTCGCTGTTCATGTTCACACGGAACAAACTCGAGCAACGACAGGACTTATGTTGTCGAAGATTCACCACCGATGACATCGTTCTTATGGTACGTAATATATATATATCTCATATGTTGCCCGTACGTACAAATCATGTGCTAACCGAAATTTTTTGTCGTTGCAGAACTTTCTTCAACGAACAGACAGACTATATCAATGCATGACGACCCCGAACGTAGTACCTGTGAGAGTTGCAACGGAATACAATTGGGCTGGCAAGTGTAAGATCATCTTAAGCTACATGGACAGGACGCACACCGACTATCAGACACGATGGCTTGATCTGGATGTTGTTTACCTGCCATACAACATCGGTGGCAACCATTGGATTATGCTACACATCGATCTGCAGGGGGGTGAGATCATCGTGTGGGATTCGATGAGGTCGATGACACCCTTGCTAGCTCTAGAGTCTGAGTTGAGGCTGATGGCTGTTGTCCTACCGGTGTTGATGCACAAGGCCGGTGTTTAGGTACTGAGGCCGACACTACCGAATACACCATGGCGCATTCGTCAGGTAACCTCCGCGCCCCAGCAAAGCGGGTCCGGTGACTGCGAGATGTTTTGCATTAAATACTTCGAGTATGATGTAACAGGGTCAAATATGGCCAGCTTAACTCAGAACAACATTAGTTTCTTTAGGAAGAAATTAGCCATAGAAATATGGGCACACCGATCTATACTCTGAATCCAATTCGCTTATTAGTACTATGACATCATTTTATTACCTAGCTCTTACAAACTACTTATCTTGCTTCCTATAAGACAAATATGTTAAAAAGGCAATTTGATACATAAAACGAACCAATTTTGCAAGCCAACTTTGCAATCCAACAATATAAAATCGACTATTCATATTCCGCCCAAAAACAACCAAGTATGGAAATCACTGAAATATTTCAGTGGTGAATTCGGGCTATCCACGGGCGAGAAATATTTCAGTGAGTGCAATTGAAGTCACTGAAATATTTCTCAGGCTAGAATATGACCATTTTGCCCGAAAACTTTTTCATCAACTTAGATGCTGTTCTCTGGACTATTTCACGGGTGAGAATATCAACATCCCGCTCGAGAACAAATGTTAATTACCTTTCAAAATTGTTTAAGTAAGGCAAAATTTTATCAACATTTCGCCAAATATATGACGACCAGTTTCCAGTACACAAAAAAGAAAATAAATGGATATAAGTAAGTCATACATCAAACTAAGACTCGATTGTTCGTAAAGGTTGGCGGCAAGTTTTCTTATTGTGACCTTGCATTCCACACCTGTTGCATTTATGTATCTGTTGAGGCTCGCCTGCTGAAGGTATCCGTACTGTTTGCCGTCTTCCAACTATCGCAACAAACTTCAGGGGCTCGATGGTGTACTCAACAAAAGTCGTCGGGTAAAGTCCAGTCCTTCTCATCACCCAATGAGTAGATTGGTTCGGCGTACGCGTTAAGAAGCGCTTCTAATTTATACTTGGGTGAACACAACGTGTATATACTAACATTACGATGCATGGCGGTAGCGACAGCGTGGGAACACGGGATCTGGTAGTAGTCAAACTGCTTACACGTACAACTCTTACTGTTTAGGTTGACACGCACTTTGCTGCTACCATCGTGTACCTTATACTCGTAATTATCAATTGGTCTAATCGTATGTCGTCGGGTCTGCTCAACTGCACCCTTAACAATCTCCTCAGCATAATCAGTAAGAATGGATGCTCTGGTCGATGCGTACATCCGCCGCTCATAAAACGATCGTTGCAGAAGAACCCTACAATGTTCTAATAGAGCAGTGATAGGCAAATATCGTGCGTGCACTAGAACTGCATTCATGGACTTTGCAATGTTAGTTGTCATCTGATTGTACCTCAACCCAGGTTGATATGCACGTGACCATTTATCGAACCCAAGTTCCTCCAAGTACTTTCGCACTTCTGGGAATCCCGCAAGCTGATTCCAATAATACCTGAAGGTAGATTTCTTGAATGCCTTAGCTGCTAGGAGGTATAGCCATTCCACGCCCTCGCTCCTAATCTTGAACTTATCATTCAAGTTCATCTGCATGTGATGCATGCAACTGATGTGTTTAGCAGTGGGGAAGATAGAAGTTACAGAGTTATTACTGGTTCGGTGTCGGTCAGACACGAAAACCAATCCTTCAACTCTCCAATACAACTCTTCATCCGCTCCAAGAACCAAGTCCGTCAGTCGTCTGTTTCCCTGTCTACGATTCCAAATGCAAGTGGATATATCTAATTATTACCATCAACAGAGGAGGCTATCAATATCACACCTTTATATTTTCCCTTCAGATGTGCACCGTCGATGACAAGTACGGCACGAATGGAACTTCTAAACCCTCGGATAGAGCAACCTAGGGCCATGAATGCATATTGGAAATATTTATCGTCCTCCAACTTCAAAGAAAATACCGTGCCCTGGTTCACCGATTTCAACGCCTCACCGTATTTACACAAAAGAGTGTACGACTTCTTTGTCGATCCCAGTAGTAGTTCCAAAGCCCTCTCTCTCGTACGCCACGCCTTTTCATATCGGATATTAACGCCTTAATTTTTCCACATGTCATTAACAATATCCTTCAGTTTATAACAACGACTTACATCCTCAAAATTGGACTTTATAATCTGACCCACCACACGACTTCGAGCTTGTCGGTGGTCATGTTTCATTACCTCACGAGTATAACTATGCACCTCATAGAATGTAGAGATAAGAAAAGTCTCTGAACCTTTAATTTTTCTTGAACGCAGGCTCCATTTGCACCCATCCTTGGTACATCCGACAGTGTACAAACTTTTTGTCGACTTCTTCACGCGATATTCAAAATTCATCTTCATTGCGTACACCTAGAGTTTGAACTGCAAATCTTATTCCGATCGAAAAGTACTCCCTACCGCAATGTCCTTTGTTGACAAACAAACTTCATCACCTGTCCTAACAATTTCCCTTGAGCACGAAGCTTGACCAATTGTGCACGGTGCATTCGTACTGACCACGTGCACTTCGGTTGAGGGGTCCGATGATGGACCAACTACATCCACTGGGTCTACTTCCTCCTAGTTGTCAAAATCAACATCATCCTCGAATTCAATATCGTGGTTGTCGTCATCCTCGCCTCGTACTCGTACTCCACGTTGTTTTCATCGTTATCATCCCATTGACCGCAATAGTTTGTTTCATCGTCACCCAAGTTACATGGGACTACATTGTCTGTCAGCGGCGTCATTGATGGGACAAAACATGATGGGCTTAGGAGCGTGGAATCAAAAGGAAGCGATGGCACATAATACGGAACAGTCTGCCCTAACTGGTGGGGAAATGATTGGAATGCTTCTGCTTCTGGAATGTTACGATTCATTGAACTGCTTCCACTGCCATGTATTTCCTTTGGTACAACAAATACATACAATGGGACTTCGGAGGTATGTGGAGGGCCTCCTAAAAAAAATCTAAGGCTATAGTCATCAAAGATGTAATACTTCGGAACCTGGTACTGCATATTGGTCTTATATACACAATGTATAGGATCTATTTGGGTAAGACTGAACATAGCACTAAGGAGCTCATCATAAGTTATACAGTCGCCCATATCCAAACCTCCCATAATTCCACATTCATATATAAATTGTGACTCATTCCACCTACCATCATAGCTAACAAATAGGCGAGGCATCCTGCATGTGGAAAGAGAAGCATTCAAATTTCGAAACTCGAAATTTTCAAAATTCTCGGACAGAAGTTATTGTTTTTCGGGCGAGAATTCATGCCCCGTATACAATATGATTCTCGCCCGAAACTCATATCATATGGTGATTTTCGGTCGTGAATAACTCTAACTTCGCTCGAGAATCATGGAAAAATATAGACAGTACATGCGCCAAATATTTCGTTCTCAAAGGAAGAATAAAAACCACAAAAATGCACTCAAACGTTCCAAATAAACAAAAAACAAAAAGGCAGACATATAAATGTGCGACTTCAGAGACGAAAATTGACCATTCTTTGTAAAGGACATTTCACCTACCTCGTTCGTGTAGAAATCTTACTCAGCTACAAACAAACTGCGTGGTCAGATGGAAAAGTTACTTTCAATGTACAAAATTCTTTTTGTTATCTGCAAAGCTGAGTACGAAGTGCGCAGATGAAGAAGACTGATTTGCTGAAGTGCACAGATGAGAGTTGGTTGTTTGAATTAATTGGAAAACCTTAAATTCTTGGGCGAAATAATACCAGTTAACGGTCGGGAATTCATTGTAAGTCAACCTCATTTCTCGCCAATTCTCGCCCATAAACAACCAAAAATGGCGGGAAAAATGCGATTTCGCCCGAGAATTCATTGCATTACATTATTGTTTTCACACTTTCAGCCGGGAAAAATTCATTTCCACCCGAGAATTTACACTGCAATTAAGGGGTAGTTGAGTACATTTACTTCCACTGACAATTCTGAAAAAGCTGGTTTGGGTCATTCAAAACAATTTTTTAGGGGTGAGTTATTTAAGCACATTGGAAACTTGAGAGGGTCATATGAGCCAATTTCCCAAAATGAACGAAATCTTAGAGTACATCAAATAACAAAATAATATTTTAACCAAATATTTACAGAAAGAAAAGCAAATTACAATATTAGCCTGGGGCATTTTGCAAGAGAGAGAAAAAAACCCTTAACACAATAGAAAGAGGAACAAAGATAGGTGGCCACCTTTGTTGGATTATCCCCATACTTAATTAGACTAGTTAGAATCACGTGCGCTGTGGTTTAGATTTTTTAGGACATAATTTTTTTTAGGACATAATTGTTTTTACTGAAATTTTGCATGTACTTTTCATTGAATTTAGATATTTAATATTTTGACATGAATTTAAAAAGAAACAAAAAAAAAAAGGAAAAAATGATGGAGAATATATATATAATGAAAATTTAATTACATATCATGCAATCGAATGAAAGTTGTGAAGTAAATGTATTTGTTTGATTTCTTCATTGCATTTCTACCATTGATTTGAATACAATGCAATCTGCACAATGAAATAGAGATTTAATATGACAAATAATAAATTATAATATTTAATACATAAATTATTTTATATAAATTTATACCTATCACTTTTCATTTATATTTTGCATATTTGCCATTAACAATTTTCACATTTCCATTTTCAATGAAAAGTATTTATTTTTCTGAAGAATTTTTCCAATTTTTTCTATAACTTCGTTGAACATTAGGACTTGAATTTTTGTTCCCTACAAATAATGTGTAGAATAAGTAATTTATTTAACAATTAAAATATAAATATTTAATACAAAATATAACAACAATCACTATAATCACATTACAATTTATTGGTCAAAACTAAGCACATCAGTTTAGAAATTCAAGTTAATTAATTAAAAGATATAAACATAAAATAAAGAATCTAAGAGTAGTCAACAAGCAAAGAACAACCAGTCCACATCAATTTAGCAAACAGATACTATCAGAGTACACGTACAAAATAAAAAAAAATATAAACATAGAATCTAAAAGTAGTTAAGGTGACAACAACCGCCCACATCAATTTAGGAAACAAATACTCAAAATAATCAGGTTACTACAAAATTAACATCAATTTAGAAATCCAACAATTAAAATTAATAATACAATTTTTTTTATCTCAGCATTCTTGACCATATGAAGATCATGAGTGGTTTTTCAGTGGACGAAGAAATAGACAAAATCATGGGAACAACTTAGACGAACTTGTAGTCTCCTTGGACAAATGCATTGTCTTACAACTACTATGCCTGAATTGCAAGATCAGAAAAAAGAATGTGTCATATAGTCCATTTTCCTGTATATCCTTAAATTTATCTCAACCTGGATCTTCATGTACAGTTAAATGGGGAATAAAGAAGGAAGATGTTGTATCTTGGCCATGAAAGTGTATTGCTATACTTATTTCTCTGTTAGCTAAAAAAATATAAACATAAAATAAAAAATCCAAAAGATCATGAAAACAAAATAAGTGAGATAAATACAAATATTAGATATAATTTTATAGGAATTCAAAAAAAAAAAAATAATTAAGAGAAAACAACAATCATCCATGTCGGTTTATAAAAAGTAATACTGACAATAGTACAATAATTCACAAAAATTTATATAACATAACGCTCATAATTCACATCAATTTTTATACTTTACCTCTTCATCGACTAAAATTAATTTCTGTATTCGCAGATCTTGGTTTTGACATACTTCAATGTCTCCCATACGAAAAAAAAGCTTTTAATTTCCACTCCTTTTGGAAAGCTATGAGTTATTTGATAAAAGAAGAAATTTTGGTAGACATTTTGTGAGAAAGACGAAGATATGAGTTTTTAATTTCTACTGTTTCCTTTTATAAATGGTTTGTAAAGGAAGAACAATCATACCTCTTCATCAATCCACCGAATGGACGCACTACTCTTCATCATACACATCGAACGATCCCACTACTTCTCTAATGTACTCCTTTAAAAGGACACCTCATTCAAATAATAGCATCCCGTAGAAGAGGTACATGGAAGAATATATAATATAGATGAAGGGTAAACTTGGTACATATTAAAAGGTTGGGGCAAAATGGGGAGGTAAAGATTCTCCTCCATAGCCACATTTAGATATAGTATAAATATAGATTACACTACAACAAAAAAGGTCTTCAGCGACATTAATTAGCGACGAAATTCTTTTTGTCGCTTTTCCAGCGACAAAACGTATTTATCGTCGCAAAATAGCAACGAAAATAATTTTTGTCGCTGGAAACGCGACGAAAACAACATTTCGTCGCTGGAAACGCGACGAAAAGAACTTTTGTTGTTGGAGAAGCGACGAAAACAATTTTCGTCGCTGCAACAGTGACGAAAATTGTTTTGGTCGCAAAATTGAAGCGGGCGCCAAAACGCCGCGTGTTGACATATGCGACGAAAATATTTTCGTCGCATATGTCAAGCGACGTCGTTTTGATGGGAAAATTAAAATTTTCCCATCAAAACGATGCCGTTTTGGGTGGGCGGCGAAACTAT